CACGTTGGGATCATCCGGGCCCAGCCTGCACTCGTAGATCTCCAGGGCACAGCAGTAGTAATATTCCACCTCCTCGTATTTGCCCTGATTCTGGCACAGGAGAGCCAGGTTGTTTAGCTGTTTGGCCACATCTGGGTGGTCCTTCCCAAGAACCTTTTCTCTGATCTCCAGAGCCCTCTTACACAGAGGCTCGGCTTCTTTGTACTTCCCTCTCTTTCCGTACAGCACAGCCAAGTTGTTCCACGTTGCAGCAACGGCTGGATGGTCTTTGCCCAGGGTTTTCTCACAGATGGAGAGCGCATTGTTGAGCAAATGAGCTGCCTCTTTGTATTTGTTTTGATCCCTATAAACTAAGGCTAAAATGTTAAGCATGGTGGCAACGTCAGGATGGTCGTGTCCAGAGGTCTTCTCCAGGTCCTCCAGAGCCTGCTTGCAGAGGGGCACTGCCACCTCGTACCTGCCCTGCGAGGCGTACTGGATCACAAGGTTGTGCAGGGTTCTCAGGCGAGCTGGAATCTTGTAGCCGCCCTGCTGGGCTGCAGCAACAGCTGCACTGTTGTGTTGGTGCTGCATTCCTTGACCCTGCTCCTCTTCATCGTTGGGGAAGAGGTCGTCCAAGTTGTCCTTTGGTGTCTCTTTGTCTTTCTCCTCCTGAGTGGGTGCGATGTCTTCGTTGTACTTTTTGAGCTGGTTCATGAACTCCAGGTGCTTCTTCTCCTCCTCCAGCTGGGCCACGTTCTGCTCACTCTTCTGCAGCTTCTGCTGGGTGTTGGCCAGCTTGTCGCGCAGCCACTGGTTCTCCTGGCAGAGCCTCCTCACCTGCGCGTGCAGCTTCTGCTTCTCGGACTTCACGGCGTTCAAGTGGTTGGACAGGGCCATCATCACCTGCGCTTCTCCCAGGCCCAGTTCAATCATCTCCACAGACTTGCGGAGCAGATTGGACTTCTCGTGGACCAGGTTGGCCTCTTCATCCTTCTTTAGGCACTTGATGGTATCCAGCAGGCTGTGGAGGATCGAGTTGTGCTCGTTCTTCAGAGCCTCCAGACCCTGGATCACCAGCTTTGTGTTGGAGATGATCTCCTCCTGGGAGAGCTTCTCGAGCTTCTCTTCTCGTGGGTACACCATGGTCGACATGTTCTCTGGAGCTCAAGGAAACCGAGATCTAGGAGAACTGACGGATAGCTCAGCTCAGCCCCTTTAAATCCAAAATGTCTCTCATCACAGACATCTACACCTCCAGATGCAGGAAGAGGGCCACCTGCATCATGAAGGACCCCACTCACCCAGCACACACATTTTTTGTCCCACTCCCCTCAGGAAGGAGGTTGAGGAGCATTAAGTGTAGAACAACTAGACTGAGGAACAGCTTCTACCCTGAGGCTGTTAGACTCATGAATCTCTAACTAGAATAATCACTGTGAAAAACCATATCATGTTGCTGCTGATCTGTTTCATGTTGCTGCTGATCTGTTTCATGTTGCTGCTGATCTGTTTCAGTGTTGCTGCTGATCTGTTTCCATGTTGCTGCTGGTCTGTTTCAATGTTGATGTGTTCATTCGTGCTCATCTGCTCACACGGACTCATGTTCATGTTTGTGTAATGTTTTATGTTATGAGTGCTTAGTGTATATTTAGTTGATGTTTTTCTTAGTTCATATCTAAGATGTTATTACTGCTTTTCTTTTCCATTTTATTGTTGGATGTAACTGGGACTCTGTGTACATAATTTCGCTCCACCACATGTACCACATGAGGTGCGAATGACAATAAAAAAACTCTGACTCTGGGGAAAAAAAAAAGAAGAAATCTGTACGCCTTTTTCTAACTGTCCATTGTTGTCATCATGCTTTGTTGAAATCAGGTCTCTCTTGTAAATGAGTCCTCGAGGCTCAGTGGGATTAAACTGTCTAAATAAAGTCCAAAAAAGTTCAATCTGGTCCTCTGGACATTCAAAAAAACAAAACAAAGCAAAAAAAAATCTAGAAACGTTTCGTCTCTTATCCAAGAGACTTCCTCAGTCTGAGGTGCTGTTTTCAGCTCAGTCTCTTAAATAGCACCTTCCCTGAGTGAGAGAATATTGTGATATATTTACAAAGCTAAGAACTTTTTCCAGCAGTATATAAAACTCAAAATGAGTTTTGGGGTGAATGTGACTGAAAATGATCACTAATATAACGTCACAAATGGTAAAAATGTTAACAGTTTACCATTGTACTGGGAAATTTAATTGAATAAATTTATGCAGTATTGAGTTAAGTTGAAATCAGGTCTCTCTTGTAAATGAGTCCTCGAGGCTCAATGGGATTTACCTGACTAAATAAAGGTTGAATGAAAAAGTCATTTGTGCCAGCCCTCCACAATATTTGTTGTTTCTCATGTGGCCCCATGGAAAAAATAATTGCCCACCCCTGCTCTAGAGCAACGTGGATATCCTAACTGGGCCTTCCTGAAAGCAGAGAAGAAACCCAAACAGGACTCCAGTCAGCCATCAGGTGAAAAGGAGGAACCCAGACCCAGACCAGTGGTCATTCCGTATGTTGAGGGAGTATCAGAGAAACTGAGACGTTTATTTTCTAAACATAACGTCCCAGTGGCTTTTAAACCCCAAAATACATTAAAGACTGGTTCATCCCAAAGATCCAGTCCCCCGGCACAAACAGAGTAATGTTGTGTATGTTGTTCAGTGTCAGGAGGGCTGTGATCAGTCTTACATCGGGGAAACAAAACAGCCACTGGCCAAAAGGATGGACCAGCACAGAAGATCAACATCATCAGGCCAGGATTCTGCGGTCTACACTCATCTCCAGGCCAGCGGTCACTCTTTCAAGGATGAAGATGTTCACATCCTGGACAGAGAGGAACGATGGTTTGAGAGAGGAGTAAAGGAGGCCATCTTTGTGAAAAGAAACCGTCCATCATTAAACAGGGGTGGAGCCTCCGGGTTCAACTGTCCCCCTCTTACAATGCTGTGATTGCTAGTATCACTCAGCCCTCTGTGAACAGTAAACAGCCATCAGGTGCTAATGATCCATTGTTAGGCTGATGGTCCTTCTTGAGCATGTGATCAGCTGGTTTTGGTTGTCAGCAGCAAACTGGTTGATCCACTCTGAGAAGGCGCTATTTAAGAGACTGAGCTGAAAACAGCACCTCAGACTGAGGAAGTCTCTTGGATGAGAGACGAAACGTTTCTAGATTTTTTTTGCTTTGTTTTGTTTTTTGTTTTTTTGAATGTTCAGAGGACCAGATTGAACTTTTTTGGATTTTTCTACCTGGATTATTGAGCATGCATCAGGATAGTCTAAATAAAGGTTGAATGAATGAAAATACACAATGCTCCTCAACCTCCTCCCTCAACTCAATTTACAACATTTCTTCGAAGAGAAAACAGGCTTTAGGCGAGCCGATTTGCCCTGTTGGCACGCACGCAGCTGGATATCTCATCGACTTGGAAGACTTGATGATGTGTCTATCTCTGCTGCCATTTGTGGATTTTAAGGACGCATATTTAATTAGCTTTTCGATAACTGGTTCCTGCTTTTTGGATTCGGCTGGTTGCTGGTTTTATCAATTGGTCAAGGAAGTCGTCTGCAACAAATTCAGACCCGATCACACTGCTTGCCTTTATGATGGCTTGGTTCGTGTCTCGAGTACCCGGACTCAAATGCTTTGGGCAGAATGGAACAGATCTTAGGGATTTTACTCAGTCACGTTCCATTGGTGTGGCCATGTATTTTGGACATTTCGGAACTGAGTGGACCAACACCGACTCAAGGTAGATGTCATTAAGTTCTGCCTGTCTCCAAAACAACTGTGTGTTTATCTGAATTTGGCTCCCTTGGCTTGCCTTGAAGGTTATCTTATCTGAATTCGCCTGGAGAAAATGAGATCTGACCCCCTTCCTGAGGAATTTACAACCGATAACCAGATGAAACCAGCTGAATAAACTTTGTGTCATCATTTCAGGACTCATGGATTTTCATAGTCGTTATTCTTGGCCATTCCTTGACATACCTGGAGAATGTTTATAGATCTCACCTGAGGACATTGGCTGATTATTACATCCTTATCAGAACTCTTACAGTGACCTCGAGAGCATCTATGAACATGCTCACCGCTCTCGGCTCCCCCCTCTGCAGAATGTCTATGTCACTATGTGCTTGTTTGTGTGAGGTGTTTTTTTTAATATTAGAGGGGGTTTTTTTCAGGCAGGAAAAAAAAAAGTCTGATAGGATTTTTTTTCGCCTCCAACTCCTACATGTGTCCATTTTACCACTTTTTTGTCTGACCAAACGGGTCTCACTTGTAAATGAGTCTTTTAGGCTCAATGTGATTTATCTGTTTAAATAAAGGTTGAATGAAAAAAAAAGAAGAAGCTTGGTTCAATATTATAACTAAAAACTGAGGTTTTTAAAGGTTTTCTCAACTTTGAATATTTAAACAACATCCTTGAATCTTATTCCTAAATTCTAAAAAGAACCAGATCAGTAAGAATAGCCATTCTACAACGAAGGTGAACGACTGTTGAATGTGAGTTTCCCTGTGGACGATGATCCAACCCCGGCTGCTAGGTTGGGCGAGTCATGAGGTGAGATAAGGGTATGACTCACAGATGGAGGTTGTTAACATATCTGGGTGAATCACCTTCAATACAGCCTTAAGTGGAACTAACTTAAGGTCACTCTGGGTAATACTCAAGTGCTAGATTTAGTTCGGAATACCCCTTAGAGGAGAGGCTGCAGTGGGGTTTAGCCATAACTCAGACGGTAACTCCACTGGGTAGATTGAGACACTTTGTGGAATCATAAAGCCTTGCTGGTGCTTGTTTAAAATAAATAAATTGACAACATGTCACAATATTCAAAACTACATTTATGTTGTACTTCATGTACTGTTTGATAAACTATACATATGTGGAAAAAAACAAATGTAACATTCAGCTACAGTAATAAGGGTACACATTCAGCCAGTAACAACAAAACAGCCCAAGAGTCTGTGACTCACCTGTCAAAGACAAATCGCATAAGCTGCAGATTGAGGGTTGAAGGTAGGCTGTGCAGTCTGATCCTCCGTGTGGCTCTCTGTTTACTCTGACAGCTCTCACAAAAGTAACAATTCTCCCCATCCAGTTTCTCTTCCTTAAGATTCAGAAACAACACAAATGTGTAATTACAAGTTGGGTTGAGCGCTGCTTTGTGATGAAAGCAACTCCTGCTTGTGTAAGGAACATTTCATTTTTGGTGGATTTATGTATTTTGTGTTGTGTGAGTTGGCGTGATGTGAATGGCAAGAATGCTGTATTTGAAATGCACATTAGTGCTTGACAGTTTGTGAAGCCTTTATAATTTTCTATTTTTATGCATAAATATGACGTAAAAGATCATCAGATTTTCACATAACTCCTAAAAGTAGATAAAAAGAACCCAGTTAAAATAAATGAAACAAAAATATTACATTTGATAATTTATTGAAAAAAATAATCCAATATTACATATTTCTGAGTGGCAAAAGTATGTAAACCTCTAGAATTACCAGTTAATTTGAAGGTGAAATTGAGTTAGGTGTTTTCAATCAATTGCCCCTTTTGCACTGCCCCTGATAAGCCCCAATTCTGGGCAGCCTGCCACAGAAAGAACCCTTTTGCACCAGTACTTTAGCTAGTGGAGTGGCTGTGGCTGAGTGGTTAAAGCAGTCGTCCTCCAATGCGAGAGTTGGGGGTTCGAATCCACCAGAAGTCACACACTGGAGTGTCCCTGGGCAAGACACTGAACCCCTCGTTGCCTCCGATGTGTGTCCGATCAGTGTATGAATGTGATAAAGCACTGATAAGTCTCTTTAGAATGATTTGTTCAATTATCTTTGTAGAGATCTAGTAGAGTGCTGTATGAATGGGTAAATGAGGCACAGATTGTGTTGTAAAGAGCGTTGAGTATCTTGAAATAAGATAAAAAGGCGCTATACAAGTACAGTCCTTTTATTATTTTTAGCTGATTTGAGGCTGATTCAGGACCTCTTTTCGTCCCTGCTTCTCTGGTGGGACCGAGCGAGCTCAGTCGAGCGGTGTCCGGACCGAAACGTGAATGCAGGACTCTGATTGGTCAGGGAGAGGAATCACTGGATCTCAGAAACTTTTCATTGATCCGCCATTTGCAATTTCTCTGGATGCGGAGCAGCGGCTGGATCTATTTTTAACATTTTAAAAACAACAATGACAACGCCGTGTTTAATTCTGAAGTCCAGGCGTATTTTGTGTTTGGTGACAGACGATAAAATTCGAGTGAGTGGTGTCACCACAGAGGATCATACGAGCTGCCGAGCTGTTGAAGCACGTGAGGCCGAACCCCAAGCCCCGGCCTCGCCTGCTCACAAAGGCCGGATTCGAGCCTTGGCAGGCGAAAGGACCAGGATGGAAGGACAGAGGGTGGAAATGTTTTCTTAAAAACATTTTAGGTATAAAAAATACGTTTTTTTATCAGTGAAGATTTAGAATAAATACACGGTGCTGGCTTTATCGTGAAATCCTGTTTTCACTTTGACTTTAAATAATCTGTTAATTAAAGTTAATTCAACTGAAAAATCATATTGGATCTCTCAGGAATATTTCCCTCAAACAAGTTTAAAGAAGAGACACAGCCTTTGGTTCAACTTTATTCTAACCTACAGATGAACAAATCACTAACCAAGCATTACACTTTAAATTAAAGCTTTAAATCAAAGCTAAAAATAATCTGTATACAAGAAAAAATAATCTGTATACAAGAAACAAAACCACAATGAGTGCAAATACATCAAATGATGAAGAAAAATATAGAATTTTAAATATATATATCCTGATGCATGCTCAATAATCCAGGTAGAAAAATCTAAAAAAGTTAAGTCTGGTCCTCTGGAAACGAAATACCATGTTTCCTCAGGATTGACCCCAAGGGGAGCAGATACAATGAGAACAGAAGGGGTCCAAGAATGGAGCCTTGTTGGACCCAACAGGAAAGAGGGACAGAAGCAGATAAATGATTGTCGAAGTTAACACTGAAACTCCTGTCACCCAGATATGAACGGAACCATTCTAGCGCCACCCCTCAAAAATTACATTCATAATCTTGGTTAGATGACTAAAAACTCATATTAAATAATTCAAACAGATCAGCAGCAACATGAAATAGATCAGCAGCAACATAATGTGATTTTTCACAGTGATTATTCTAGTTAGAGATTCATGAGTCTAACAGCCTCAGGGTAGAAGCTGTTCCTCAGTCTAGTGGTTCTACACTTAATGCTCCTCAACCTCCTTCCTGAGGTGAGCGGAATAAAAAGTGCGTGTGCTGGGTGAGTGAGGTCCTTCATGATGCAGGTGGCCCGCTTCCTGCATCTGGAGGTGTAGATGTCTGTGATGGTGGGGAGACTGACTCCAACATCTTCTGTGCAGCCTTCACCACTCTCTGCAAAGCTTTTCTTTCTGCAGCTGTGCAGCCTCCATGCCACACGTTGATGCTCGAGCACAGGATGCTCTCCACTGCACACCTGTAGAAGGAGGTGAGGACTGAGCTTCCAGACCAGCTCGTCTCAGCCGCCTGAGAAAGTAGAGTCTCTGATGAGCTTTCTTGACCAGGCTGGTGGTGTTGGGGCTCCAGCTGAGGTTGTTGTTCAGGTTCACACCCCAGTACTTGTAGCTGGAGACCACTTCCACCGCAGATCCTCTTATGTTCAGGGGGGTGTAGGTGAGTTTGTTCCTTCTGAAGTCCACAGTCATCTCCTTTGTCTTCTTCACACTAGCTATGTTAACATGGACATAAGTAATCAGATCAAACGGCCATTAGGAATAAAAACGCGTCATGTAAACACCCCGTTCAGGTTATTTTTTGTTTATTCAGCATGATCAGAAATAATTTGTGATCAGAAAGAAATGGGTGGTTTTCGCCAATTCATAACACGAACGGTGCGCATGTAAACACGATCTGTTCCTTTTTATTTAATCGTGTAAAGCTGACCTGACTGCGCATGTGCGACTATGTCATTTCCACCTGGCTAATGCTAATAATATTAGCGTGTTGGGGAAGCAAAACTGGTCGGTGACCTACACAATATTTCTTCTAGAAACTTTGAAAGAGCTCAAAATTATCTTTATTACCTGTACCTCGGTCAGAGAGCGCAGTAACGTCTCCACCGTCATTAAAACCTGTCGCAGGTCCATTTTGGGTGCTCAGGTTTGTTTACGTTCATCTTGGAAGTAAACCAGAAGTGGAACTTCTTCTTCAGTGTTTTTTAAGAGGAGTTTATTACACTGCGCGTGTCAGTACTTCTGTTCAGTACAAAGCCTGCTGCATGTAAACACTCGTCATGAACAAACTGTGCCCATGTAAACAATACATTTGAATTATTTAATCTGAAAACATTTCACCAAGCTCTGACCCACCTGGAGAAACCTGGAAGCACCGTGAGGATCATGTTCTTTGATTTCTCCAGTGCTTTCAACACCATCCAGCCAGGACTTCTGCGGGACAAGCTGGAGTTATCAGGAGTGGATCACCACATGTCCCAGTGGATACTGGATTACCTCACTGGACGCCCACAGTATGTGAGGACACAGGGCTGTGTCTCTGACATGCTGGTCTGCAGTACGGGGGTCCCACAGGGAACTGTGCAGGCACCGTTCCTCTTCACCCTCTACACTGCAGACTTCACCATCGACTCCCCACACTGCCATCTGCAACAGTTATCTGACTCTGCCATAGTCGGCCTCATCACAGGTGAGGACGACTCAGAGTACAGACAGCGGACTCAAGACTTTGTGGACTGGTGCCAGCAGAACCACCTCCTGATTAACGCTGCTAAAACTAAGGAGCTGGTGGTGGATTTCCGCAGGCACAGGTCCACCTCACTGACCCCGGTAAACATCCAGGGAGAGGACATTGAGATTGTGGACTCTTACAAGTACCTGGGTGTTCACCTGAACAATAAACTGGACTGGTCTCACAACACTGATGCACTTTACAGGAAGGGTCAGAGCAGACTCTACCTGCTGAGGAGACTGAGGTCTTTTGGGTGCAGGGGGTGCTCCTGAAGACCTGCTTTGACTCGGTAGTGGCATTAGCCATCTTCTATGGTGGTGTGTGTTGGAGCAGCAGCGTATCATCAGCTGAGAAGAAGAAGCTAGATAAGCTCATCAAGAACGCCAGCTCTGTGCTTGGACGCCCCCTCAACCCAGTGCAGGTGGTGGGAGACAGAAGGACTCCAGCTAAAATAACATCATTGCTGGACAACGTCTCCCACCCCATGAAGCTGCTGCTGAATTGGAGAGCTCGTTCAGTGACAGGTTCCTGCTCCTAAATGCACAAAGGAGCGTCACCGCAGGTCCTTCCTCCCAGCAGCTGTTAGACTCTACAACCATCACTGCTCCAACAAACTCTACAAGGATTAAATACATGCTGACCTCTGCTAAAACACACACTCTGCCTGTAATACTGTACTGTCAATAGTCTTCTGTCATTATCAATGTTCCAATACATATTGAACATTATTATTGATATTGTTTATCTTATTTCTTTATATATTGTATTGTTTATTAACATTTAGGAACTTTTGTGTGAAATCTTTTTATCTTTTTATCTGTTGCTGCTGTTACACTTGAATTTATCATCTGTGGGACAATAAAGGCTGTTTCTATTCTATTCTATTTCAATCCGGTCAAAAAAATTTGCGAATGTAAACATAGCTACTGATGTACAGGTTATTCTCTCTGCACCAGCTCTCCATGTGTTCCACCTCCTGCCTGTAGCTGGACTCATCGTCGTTTGTGATGCATCCCACCACCGCTGTATCATCTGCAAATTTTACAAAATGGCAACCTGGATGAGTAGCTGCACAATCCTACGTGAGCAGAGTGAACAGGAGAGGGCTCAGCACACAGCCCTGAGGAGAGCCAGTGCTGAGGGTTATGGTGGAGGAAGAGAAGTTGTGGATCCTCACTGACTGCGATCCGTTTGTTAAGAAGTTTAGGACCCAGTTGCAAATGGAGAGGCTTAGTCCTAGTGTGAATATTTTGTCCATCAGGGTTTGGGGGATCATGGTATTGAAGGCAGATGTGAAGTCAACAAAGAGCATACGGATGTAGGAGTCCTTCTGCTCCAGGTGGGTGAGA